TGCACTTGGACTGGTTGGCTCTAGTTGCTCTTGGGATTTAATTATTGGAGTTATCTGTACAGACAAGTAGTCTGATATTATTTTGTGCTTATATGATGTATGTTATACTATGTATCTGACCTTTAATGCAGGAAGTGAACTCGTGGGTGGAGACTTCTCCATAAACCCCGAGTTTACGATATTTATTTCTCACCCCGTGTTGTGGGGATATATTTCAGGTATTCTTGCAGTTGTTGATCAACCATCTAATGGCAAGAGGCCTGTACAGAGTGGCTAGTGTTGGAGCTGGATTTTGTACTTTGAATCTTGTGTGTAAATTGTATATACTTTTTTAAGGCATGTGTACTATCCACGCATGTTGATAGCAGTTATCTTTTTGAGATTCATGTTTAGCCTTTGTTTTGATTATTTGTAATGAAATTATGAATTTCAGTATGTATTTGTGTATTGGCTTAAAGTCGTAGTTCAGTATACGGGGTATTTCAAATATGTGTGTTTATCTGCTGTAGTTTAAGATTCACAGGTTTAATTGTGTTCAGGGCTAGCACTCAGCCAGATTCTGTGTGAATTCATGTATAAATTCTAAGTCTGATAATGTTTATCTATGTTTTGTATAGATTTTCTGTATTACAAGAATTTGGATTTATCCGAATTACAGCCGTTATGTTGTCCATAGTTTTCTATTCATAATGGTCTCTATTAGGGGTGAAACTGGGTCGGACCGGCCTACAGGGGCCTACGACTCGGCCTATGTCAGGCCAGTCCTGATCTAGTATATTTCGTAAAATAGGCCGGGCTTGGGCCTTGAAAAGCCTGTTTAATAAAAAGGCCGTAGCCCACTTTCACAAGGCTTGGCCTATAAGCCTACAGGCCGGCCTATATTATACTATTTATTTTAAAGAAAATAAAATAAGTATGCCTTGAAGAAAAAAGAAAAGATATAAATTTAATCAATTACAATTACTTATAACTTAATTATATTCGATTATATTTTAATAGAAATCTGAATTTATTTCTTATGTAGGAGGAACCAACATCTTAGCATGTTAGATTGTGTTTATGAATATATTAAAAGATTTTTGGGAGATATTATACTTACTACAATCATCATGATGTATTTGTTGGATTCATGTAGTTATTTTAATTTACGTAGTATGGATTTGTTTGTTGGATATGATAAAATATATGTTATTTAGTTTGAGCATTTTGCTTTTGAAAGTGACTTGAATGCAGATTGTATGAGTTTTGTTGTGATTTATGATTCTGTTTGGACGTTGAAATTATGATTTTTAGTTTAACTACAGAATTTGAGTATTTTGTAAAGTTGATTCATAGTTCTGCTTGGAAGTTAAAAATTAACAGGCCAACGGGCTAGGCCAAGCCATTTGTTTTTTTATAAACGGGCTAAGTCAGGCTAACAGTTAGACTCGTACTAGGCTTGGGCCAGGCCAAATTGAAAAAAAATTTGCGTAGGCTTGGGCTTTTCGGGGCAAAGCTTGGCCCAGCCCAACCCACTTTCACCCCTAGTCTCTATGATCATATTTGAATGGAATATATCTGTCAAGTACATATATGAATAGAATAGACATAGGTAAACCGTTTAAGAAATTTGTATAGGTATGAGATTATGCAAATCATAACAATTGGAATTAAGTTGCGTAAGTGGCAATGCGGAGAATAATAGGAAATGCGTTAATTCAATAACATAACAATCAGAGTAGTAATAGAATAAAAGAAAAAATTTATCAGCCTTTTTACAATAACTAAAGATAATATTCGTGTTAAGTCTTCCGCTTAATTCATAATTTGTAAAGCGCATTTTGTACCATATGTAGGTTAACTCATCGACTGATAACTGCAAAGGGGGTGTTACACTTACCACCAAAGTCTTTCCACATACTTCTTCGCAATGGCATCATCCTATGTGTACCTTTTCACTAGCAATTAAATTATTAAAGGCTCAAGCAACAATTACCTCACCAATTCCATATATGAAGATTCAAATTGTACAATATACGAAAAATTGTTCAAGTTTAACTAGTTCTTCAAAATATCTTCAAAATAGATATGTCCATACCAGACATTTCATAAAAACTTTACAAAAACTCCAGATACCTCCTAATTTACTTTTATTTTTTGAACTATTATATAAATACAAATGAAAATTGTTTGAATTTATATACAAATATAAATCAAAATACCACAATAATGAATTATATAACATCTGTATCCCTTGTCGTTAGGCTAACAAGACAAGGGTCGAAACATTGCCATTTCCTTATGACTCTGTCTATTGTGAAAAGTTGGGTCGGGGCGTTTGGTTGTTGGATTTTGTGGAGAAAGATGGGGAAATTGCAACTGGATTGTTGGAGAACCAAGTTTGGTTGGAGTGCTTTCAAAGTTGGCTATGTAAATGACTTTCCTTGTTCTCCCGTTTGCCTACCAATCTGAAACGAAAAAACCGGCAAAATAAACCTACTTCATGGTGTGGTATTTTGACTTAGCTAGCTATTTGGTGACATAGAAAAGCGTGCGATGACAGAGATGTCCTCCTTTCTTTTTTGGTGACATTCGAATAAAGGGTAGTTGATACTAATTCAAAATAATTTGAAGAGAGGGTTATTTTCGTAACTTCCAACCTTCTTTCTCATCTATGTTTTCCTTATATCCAAACATAGACATTATAAATTTACTTAATTTTCCCGGTAAAATATTTTCCAACCAAATAATTTTTTTTAACATTTTCCTACCAAACTCACTTTCCATCCATTTCTCTATGTATATAATTTCTCTATTATTCATAAAAATTTCCCTCAACCAAACGTCCACTGATAACCAATTTGAGAGCACTGATAAAATATTCTTTCCCTTGAGTTTCATAAATAATAACTACAACGATAACTTCACGTAATTTGTGCTTTCTACACCTGGAAACCAACATCTGATTTCACTAGCACGAAAAATCATTAGAAATATATTTATACAGCAAATCAAAATCACTCTCGTAGTTATTGATTCGATGATACAATTACTTGGCAACCGAAAGCAAGTTCATATCTTTTGAGACACATTTGACATCGCGCTTTCAATCCACAACTAACAAGTTCAGTTGCCGTTATGCCATTCATCAATGCTCTTACCATCTTCATTTTTCTACCGAAAAGCCACTAAATAATAATAAATAAATAAAACAATAAATAAAATAGAGAGAGAAACTTCCCTACTACAAATAACAAAGTTAGCTCATATCATAATTTCAAAAGTACTCATACAGAACTGGCATCATAATTTCACCTATGTCATTGACACTGACAACAAAAGGAGAGAAGGCTTTCATTAGTCATGATTATCTACTACAAATAATGAAGTTAGCTCATATCATAATTTCAAAAGCACTCATAAAAGAACTGGCATCATAATTTCACCTGTCATTGACAGTGATAACAAAAGGAGAGAAGGCTTTCATTAGTCATGATTATCTCTATGGCTATATTTTGAATTATCTTAATATAGGAGAAATTTTTTTTAATCAGAAAATCACAATTTTTTAAAATATAATAAGAAAATAAATTTCTCGAAAATGTTACGAAAAAATTATTTAATAGGCCAAAATATTCTTTAAAATATTTGATTAATTTTTTTAATATTATATTTGCTTAATTGTAAAATATTACTGAAAATGTGATTTTTACCGTCCATGTTGGTGGTATTCTTGGATGACATTCTTGGTTAAAATTTGGTCACAAAACAAAATTCCGGAAAACTCACAATCCCGGAAAAAATTTCAGAAATCTTCTACTAAAAATGGGTAAATTAAATTATCATCCTCATTTTTTCAAAAATCTAAATAAAAACCATCTGCCAAACACCACCTTAGGATTTTATGGCTTATGGCTTACGAAAGTCAAATGCTTTTATTGAATTCTCAACAATCAAATACAGGTGCACAGAATTACTTCTCCAAAGAATAAAATGTTGTGCGGCACAATCAACAAATCCTATACATGTACGTTTGTTGAATGAGCAATGAAAAGCAGTGATCTCTGCCAAACAATATCAAGAAAAATGAGCCTATAATACAAAAAAAATGTGAGGGTATATAATTGTGTTAAATGCTTAAATTCCCACCAAAGTAGAGTAAACGAGTGCCTTGTAGGTTAATGATATCCCACAAGGTGGAAATCGATAACAGCTTTACTGACAAGAGAAAATGCTAATACACCCCCAATATTATTGAATTTGAATTTCTGTGTACATTGTGACGTCAATTTTATCAAAATTGTCCGTTTTGCATATTTGTGGCACCTCCTGGTATGTCTACCAATATGCAACTAATGTCTATCAAAAGAAGAGGAATCAATCTTTTTTCTTCATCATGTTCCAAAGATGAAATGAAAATATCAGAGAAAAAATAATTCTTGCCGCGCTTTTGATTAAAATTCAATTTCTTTGTCAACCATTGACATATATGTAATTAGAATATAAAATTGTAGACACCAGAGAGACCAGGAATAAGAGATCTCAGGATCAGCGGGACCACAAGGTCGAGAAGAGAAGAAAGATAACTTAGGGACTACAGTTTGCATCAAATTCCTCATATGCAATAAACCAAGGTTGAGAGCACTAATAACCAAAAAGTTTAGTATATAGTTTCATATGGTTACCTGTGAAGAATTGGACTAATAAGTATTAACAGAGTGATGGAAGGCTTGCAAGCTTCTGAGTCCAAGAGCTTCTACTTTCTTTCTTTCTTTATTCTTTTTGCGTTTATTTGGCCTCTTTCCATATATTCGAGGCTGAGTATAGGGAGATTCAGAATTTTGCATTCAATATCCTGATATCCTCTATGCTGTTTTGCTTTTCTTATTTATAAATTCATGCATACCCTCTCAAGATATTAATAAAAGAGCTTAGTCAGTTATAGAAACTTGTTTCCCTACTATGACTTGAAGCAGATTTCATATTTTTCTCTTATTTCATTCCATTGTTCGATATATAACTCCTACAGTGCTCTTTCCATTTCATCCTGCATATTTTTCTTTTTTTTTCTTTAAAAAACAGAATTCACAAACTTTCTGAACATACAGATTCCAGTGATGTTGCAACACATCACATTTTTACATGATATAAAACATGAATTTTACTGCAAACGGAATGATTGTAAATTTAGGCAAATAAGAATAATAATAACTACAATCCTAAGCTTGGTGGAAAACAAATCAGGTCATCCAGCGGCTCCAGCAACGGCCTGCAAGAACTCAAGTCTGTAAACAACATTATCAGAACAACCTTTGTTCAATAGAAGTATCATTCGGAGATGCAATGAACCGCGTAAGAGTTATTGAGAAAACAAAAACAAAAAAACCATGAAACGGTTCAGCAATAAAATTATCAATTCCACCAATTCCATATATCCAAATATTACAACGATTCAAATTATTTCATATAAGGAAGAATTAAATGTTTCAAACTTTTTAAGAGTAAATCATTGCACAATTGAAACTTAAACAAGGCAAAAGAAAATTAATGAGGAGGAGTACCTCCTTATCCAACGATTGCATCAAGTACTAGAGTTAAAAATGTTTAGCACAAATAACTGCAATTATTCTACACACTAATGGCGCGAGTCTGCTGAGTACTAAAAATTTACAGTCGAAAGTAAAGTGTGCAGTTGGCGATCAAAAGTGATGCGGGAATCAAAGCCTCTCAAACTGCAGAACGCACGGTAGCGTCGATAGAACAGCTTAGAGGCAAAGATACCCGCAACACTTTTGCTGGCCCCACACGAGTAACAAGAGTAATATGGTTAGTCGGCTGAAATGGTAGGAGGCGAACGACGAAACCCTAAAGTTGCAAACCACTGGGGTGAGAGGATGATTATATAGCACCTCAAAGACCATAATAATAATTATTATGTACAAGTACAAGCTCAAAGAGCATATTTTTAAAGAAAAATTTCAAAATCAATTCTATGAATTTTTTTAATTATCACTTATTTTTTTCATAAATTTTTTGAATTATTTTATATTGTTATTTAGATTTTCTTATCACTTATTTCTATTACTTGAGGTTTCTTTATTATTTATCTCCCTTGCTTAGAGAGATAAATGATAAAAAAATTTAAATTAAAGAATAAATAATTCAAAATTTTGAAAAAAGAATAAATAATTACGAAGAAAGTTATAGAATTTTTTTGAAGTTTTTCCTATTCTTAATTTTGTTATTCGAACAAGTAGGCCACTTGTGAAGAAATCAAGATGGATTTGGTAATTTATTTCTCAAAAATCAAAATTATAAAATAGTTGCACCGTGCACGGCATGCTCATTCAGAAATAAATAATAAAGTATTTTATTAAATATATTTACTTGAATATATGAATTAAAGAGTGGTGGGCAGCTGGATGGATGGACAGCTGGATCCCACTGTTGGTCATTTTGTATTTGATTGGTTTGAAATTTTGATTTAGAATTTATTTTTTAAAAAGTATAATTAAAATTTTTATAAATAAAAAGAAGGAAATTTTGGAAGAATATTAGAAGCGGCCACATCTTACACTTTCCTTGTATAAAAACAAAATATATATATATATATATATATATAAATATATATATATATATTCTGATTAAACTATGCTAATATTTTTTGCATAAATTTTTAATTTAATTCTTCTCTTTCTTTTTAGTGGACCGGTTCATTTGGGCTTTACTCTTGCTTTTTAATTCCTTCATTTTATAATTTTCTGCAAAATGTAAAAATAAACAAATCAGAAGCCCAATTTAACTTTTTAAGATTTAAAATAATTTGCTCAAAACAGCCCAATTCCTATAGTGCTTCTGGCCCAAAGTTACTCATAAATGACAATTCAGTTCAAATAAACACAAATTCAATTACATCAAGATAGATCTCCAAATTAGATCTATTATTAACGATCATCCTTATCATGATAAGCCAAAAATCTTTGGTCGGGGGATTAGTCTCGTCCTTTCTTCGGTTGCGAAGCTTAGTGCACCCACTGTTACAATGAGGGGCTAGCCCAAACGGGCCGTACCCCAAGGACATGGTGCCCGGAAAAGGTTAAATGAGGATACCTCCTGGCAATGTACCAAAAAAAAAAAATCAGAATTTTATCTAAAATTAGAATAAAGATAGAAAATCGTAAAAAGTAAAATACTAACGTAAAAAAAATCATAAACAATAGTAAAAATGTAAAAGCATTTAGAATTTTGATAAAATAATTTTGATTAAAAAAAATCGTAAAACCATAAAAGTGCATATTTAAATCAGAAATTTAACTACCATCATCTGCATCCACTTTTACTCTAATTCTGTTGCTTACTTTGTAGAGAATGAGTTTGTTCCCTCTGTAAACATACCTGATAAGTTAGTTTTCAATTCCCACTCCATAATTAATTAACTCAATAATCCCTAATCTTATGGCATATGACTCTATTTGCATTACATCATGAACTCATCTCATTAAGGTTCTTTCTGTTCGTACACTGCCATAGTTCTTACTTAAATACAACATGCACGCGGTCATCAAAATAAAAGAACATCCATACATACATGATTACTTGTTCTTAAGCATATAAAATTCATGCTATTACAATCCTCAAAATGACAAGCTGTTCACATATGCATTTTACAATTACAAAAATATTTCCCAAGGATTACTTTCAAAAAGAGAATATAATATGGTGATAGCTTAACAAAACAGCGTATAGTGAGTAATTTGTTGGATTTTTGGTCTAAATCCCATAAGTTATGAATAAGAAGTTTGGTAGTGAAAATGTGTGTCTTTTCGTCGATAAACAAATATATCTTTTCATCCTAACAGACGTGTTGTTTCATCCTTGAATGGGTGTCTTTTCGTGTTGAACGAATATGTCTTTTTGTATCCAACGGATGTGTTATTTTGTCGTCAAATATGTGTCTTTTGAATCGTGACCTTACGTTTTCTATATATAGACCCTGACCCCTTCAGAAAATATTATTCAGTTTTCTGCACTGTTACTCTGCCGGATTTTTTCCTTTATCCGATTTTGCACACTTCCTTCTTTTTTTTGGTGTAATTCCTCTGGCATCTTGTTGTGTTCGTTCGGGTTGTTAACAGATAATGCCACCAATCTTCAGACGCAATCCACTCTATCCTGGGAGACAAGTGTCCATCAACCTTCGGCATAAGCGAGGGGGCAAATTATCTTAAGGAGACATATTCTGTGGGCTCAAATTTTCTACACTATCCTGCATAAATTGATCATTGTGTTCCATTATCTGACATCCTATAAGTCTGTTCTAATTTCCTTATTGCATTGAGTTTGATAATTTTGATCATTAATCTCTTCTGTTCTATACATGGGTTCAAACCTCTTAATGATTTAATATCACCCATTGTCTCCTATATAACAATCTTAAGACAGTTTGGTGTTTTGAACCTGTGATCAGTATATTCTGTTTTCTATTTTATATACTATGTAATTAAAAGATTAATTTGTTTGATTGATCAAAATTTCTGTTTGAGTAATAGAAATGTAATTTTTAATCCGTGTTTGAAAAAATCATGTCAAATCCATGTTTCAACGTTTTTGCATTCTAACGTAGATTAATTATTCTCGTTTCACGTGCTTCTTATGTAAGAGGTTGGAATTTTTTCTAAATTTAAAACTGTCACTGTTACGAATTCACTTTATGTTTTGTTGCTTTTATAGTAGTTTTGAAAACAATATAGTGGTTTTCATTCCACCGCAAAGAATAGGAAGCATCAAATCACCCATTTTATCATTTCTGTCTTGATTTACGTGTTTGAATATTCACTTTCAAATTCATTTCAATTCTGTTCTGGATAGCCCACATGTATAGGTCCACTACTGGGTTCAATCTAAAAGGCCCACTTCTAGAAGGTATCATAGGATGCCCCTGCACGCTGGCAGGGGTTCAACATGCCTAGCCTGAAAAGGCTAGGCTGGCTAAGTTGATTGGAGCTCTTACTCTAAATACCTCCTCTCACATTGAGGAAAGGGAGCTCTTCTTCTCCATCGAGCTCCATGCGCTGCTACGAGGGAGAGCAATCCTAGCCACTCTCACACCCCCCCTTATGCACATACATGGGAAGCTTCACTAGTGCTTTGGTCTCTACCACTGTCACTATGGATACTCCCTATATCAACATACTTCTCCCTCAATGGGACACATCTTATGTACTGATAAACCTTTAGTTTATCTTGTTTTATAGACTAAATTAATATAAATTATCAAGTTGAATAAGTCAAAAATTAGGGTTTTAATACAATAATCATGAACTTTATGAATTATCAATTAAATGATATATATTTTCTATTTTGAAGGGATTTGAAGATAAAAGGAGGAAGAATTGAAGATATGAAAGATGAAGATCAAAACAAGAAGATTTAAAAGATCTCATCAAGATTATCAAGTTGTTAGAGAGGGGGCTTAAGCTCCCAATTCGAAGCTAAAGCCTCAAAAAATCAACAAATGGCATCTGCCTAAGCAGCTTAAGCCCCAATAAGCAAGCTAAAGCCTCATGTATAAGCAAATTTGTTCGGCCTTAGCAAGCTTAAGCCCCCAACCTTGGGCTTAAGCGCGAGCCAAGAAGGAAGTTCAGACTTGAAGAGCGCGCTTAAGCGCGCTACGTAAATTTTCCATGCAATATTCAGCAGGCTTAAGCGCGCTCCAGCAAGCTTAAGCGCCCCGAATGATCCAACTTAAGCCCACTTGAAGAATCCACTTAGGGCACGAATTCTTTACCCTTAAAAACACATTTGGGGTTCAGAATCAATAACTTTTGATATTCTAAGAGAGTCTTGGCACTTGGAGGCAGAGGGAACGCGGAAGATTCATCGGTTCATGTTCGTGAGCGGCGGAGACAGATCAACATCAAGTCTGCACTGGGGATATTGAAGATTCACCAATCATCTATGGAGTTTGGGGGAGCTTTTATATTGTCTTTCATTCTTGATATTGTTATGTCTGGCTAGTTCTTTAAGTAGTTAGGGTTAGATGAAATTTAATCGAATTATTATGCTTTGAAAAATTCGTATGTTAATTTTCCTTTATATCATGAATGAAATTATCTGTTTTTAATGCTTTATATAGGCTTGAATCTTATATAATGATCGTAGGCAAATGCATGACAATAGGAATGTTGGTGTGTGATCCTTATCTGATAATTTCATCATACGCTTTATGATTCTAGGGATATACATAGGTGTTTGCGTAATCTTTAAGATTCTTGAACTTAATGCTCATGTTATTGGGGAATAACCGGGGAACTAGGGTTCTTCCCAGATCGTTAAGGTTTAGGGTAACAAGGGATTGAGCCCTAATTACATGCGAAAGAATTGATTAGATTGATACTACGGACGATTAACATTAAGAAGGAATTCAACCATAATAAAGAGATTAAAGGAAATCGAACCCCTAGCTACGTTCTTTTAAATCAGTAAATTCAATCTTTAAATTTCTTGCTTTTATTCTTGATATTCATTAGAGTGAAACCAAATTTTTAATTTCTTGCGACTAATTAGTTTCGTCTTTTAAATTTCAAATTCAAATACCGTTCCAAATACAATTTCGAGTGTCCAACTAAGTTTGCGATAGTGAATTAGTGCTTGAGTATAATCCTCGTGGGAACAATCTCTTATTCAATCATTATATTACTTGTACGATCGGTGCACTTGCCGTGAGTCGCAACAAGTTTTTGCCGCTGTTGCCGGGGATTATTACTTCAACATTAATAGTAGCTATTAATTTTTTAGATTGGACCCTGTTTTTGTTATTCAATTTCTGTTATTTCAATTCAGTTTTATTTTTTATTTTCATAATCTGTTTTCTGGTTTATGCGAGGTACTGTTGA